CCCCACCTACCCAACCCCACCCCCCTCAACAACCTTCCTCAAAAGCCCCAGTCTCCTCTCAAACCCCTCCAACAAACCCCTCATCTCATCCTCACCCATCTCCCCTTTCCCCTCTCTACCTACAAACTCCCCCTCCTCATCACCATCCACCCCGCCACCAAACGCCTCCCTGCCTACGCCTTTAACCCTTAGCATCAAGGCGGCCGACCCATCTACACCACCATCTCCACCTTGGGCAGGATTGTCTTGGGCTGTGCCATCATGGGCACCTCCCGGAACAGTAGAAGCAGGATCCGAGCTCGAGGTATGCTGAGGACCAGCATTCGAATTAGAATTCGAATTCGCATTTGAGCTTTCGAATGTAGGTGCCTTCCCAATAACCCCGTTGACGACTTGCCACGCATCGGTCAGAGAATGGATACCAGTTATCGCATCACCAGTATTTGATATGTCAATGATAATCGTCCTTTCCCTTTCCCTTTCTTTTTCCCTTCTTTCCCTACTTCCCTCCCTATCTCCCCCTCTCAATCGATACGTATCCTCACTACCCTCCAACCCCTCCCCCTCTCCCCCATGATACCCAGCCTCATTCTCATTCTCATCGTCATTACCAACACCATCAGAAGTAGAAGAAGGCAAACACCCCAACAACCTCCCCGTCAACCCCCCCACATCCTCATCGTCACTGAATAGGTATCGTATCTGGCGGGGATGTGTGCTAACACCCGTCTTTACATCGTCGACGAGGACGAAGAAGCCTTGGAAGTTCTTTGGGGGCGTGGGAGGTGAGGGGTCGGGGTCTAGTCCGCTTTGGAATTGGGGTGGTAGTTGTGTTTCTGCGCCTGCTTCGGGGTTTCTTTGAGAGTGAGAGGGAGAGGAGGAAGGGCGGTGGTAGTCGGAGGGAGCTTGGGTTAGGATCGTTGGGCGTGGCTGGGGTTGTGGGTGTGATGGTTCGTTTGTCTGTGTTTGTGTTTGTGTTTGTATTGGTGTATTCGAATCCCCTCCTTTCCCATCTACCTTCCCCTCACCCACACCCTCTATCCCCATCCTCCCCTCCATCTCCATCTCCATCTCCATCCGACCCTCTTTATCCATCTCTCCCCTCACAACAGACACAGGAACAGGCACAGGCGGATCCTTCCCCGACCTTGGTTCCGTAGGTATCGATTTCGAGTCCGACATCGTATTATGTGGTATGGAATCTATCCCTATCCCTCTCTTCTGCTTTCGATCTCTTCTCTCGCCGTTGCTGCTCCGCCTCTCTACTGTCGACTGCTTTCGTCCTCTTCTCTTCTCTTCTCTTGGTTATCGTCGTCGTAGTCTTGAACGTCGAAGTAAACTTGAAGATAAAGTTGAAGCAAGGGAACCTTCTCATCCGCTGACGCAAGACAAGGCTGAGACTCACAACCCCATACCCGTAAAAGTGGAGAAGTGGAGACTCTATCTCCAAGCCAAGGAAAGCTTATCACACGTGATGAACCTCGGTACGTTGCCCCTGAATCGGATTGGAAAAGAGTATGTAGTTAGAGAAGGGATATCAGGCTGGGTGGTTGTCAAATAGGCATGTGATAACATCGCGAATCCAAAACAACACACTCCGAATCCTTTCAGACCTCATGACTCCATTCTATTCACAACACTATACAATAATCCCCTCATCAATCAATCTATCTTTCCGTATCCAGCCCACCCCTCCCCCTCCATCCCCCTCTCTCTTCATACCCCATAAACCCCATGAACACCCAAACTCTCCAATGCTTTGCGTCGCTTAGCTTTATACACAACAACTCTACAATACACATCAAAAAAAAATCCCCAGGTATTTCCCGTTTGAACGCCATCTCAATCTCAATCAGCAATAACAAAATATGCAAATGCCATCAAATTCAAACTCAAAGTAAACTAAACAATCCACCCCCAAGTCCCACCATAGCCAGACTAACAACCCCAACAATAACTCTCGACCAAGCAAACGGTTCCGGACCAGGAGATCCCGCACTCTTCTTCCCCGTGCTGGTCGCTGCGAACCCACTAGCGGCCGCCAAACCCGTGGCGGTGGGGTTATAAGTGGCGGTTTCGTCACCACCTTCTCGGGTGGGGTTGGCAGTGGCTCTGGGTATTCCCGTGGCTGTTTGTGTGACTACCGCTTCATTGGGAGCGGCAGAGGCGGAGGGGATGGGTGCACCGGAACTGGGGAAGGGGACGATGTCTGAGTTGGTGACGTTGAAATTTGTTTGGCCGAGGGCGATGCGGTTGTTGATCAGATCGTAGACGACGTATGCAGATCTCAGAAAGGTGTCCCCGAGTAAGATGGGAAGGTTTCCAGCTGCTTGAATACCCAATTGACAAGCTGCCTGTCCGTTGGTATATTTTGGTGTTTGGCCATTAGTGAGAGTTAATGGTAGAACGAGTTCGGAAACGGAGACTTTGATGACTGGTCCACCTGGTCCACCAAATCCGTAGTTGATAGTACCTTGTTTTTGAGCGAGAGCACAGGGAACGATGACAGCTCCAAGTCTTTGGTTGACAGTGGCTCCAAGTTCTTGAAATATCGAGGCTGCAAGTTCATCTGGGAGAAGGGTGATGGTAGTTCCCGAATCTAGAATGACAGCAGCTGCATAATTGGATGGTGTGAGCATGTCGGTCCCGGAAGTACTAGTTGCTGAAACCGAGGTCAAGGCGACGGTAAATGAAGTAACTTGTCGACTTCTTCTACCAGCATAAACATTGATAGACACGAGATCGCCCTGATACTTGGTCTTGTCAATACCACCAAAGAGAACCGAGCCGGTGCTAGATTCTGGAAACATGTTAGCTCAAATGCCAAAACATCTTAAATTCCAACATACCAAGATCATTCAACCACAAACTGTAAGCTTCTGAATTGATAATTCCCTGATCAACGAGAGCATAAGGCAAATTGGCATAAATCGTTCCGTTTCCTGAATCCACATTTGCCTCTGAGGTATTATAACCAATGCCCAAGATTCCAGTTCCAATTGTACCCTGTCTAGCCAAACCCATCTGAAATTGTTGAATGGTAGCTCCTCCAATCGAAAAGGTATCCTGAAAGTAATCACCCGTCACACCTGTCTGGTCGACATAAGAGATATTAAACTCGTTTTGGCCTACAACTAGGAAGGAAGAGGAAGATTGTGGATTGACTTTTAATGTTAGTATATGCTTGCGAATCGAGGGAAAAGTAAATAAACATACAAGTTCCTCCATCACATCCACCACCTTGCGAACGGGAAGCCGAGCAAAAAGAGTTGGTATTGCTTGGTACCCAGACATCAGAACTCCCGGTATCAATCTGAACCATCAACGTTTGACCCGGCGTTCCCACCGAGATATTGGCAAAGTACAACCCAGCCTGCGCCGCATTTCCTAGATCGGCGGTTACCGTTCCCGCACGAGCTTTCAGACGTTGGAGATCGCGGTTGTAGATTTGACGGCGAATTAATTGTTCTTCCTTTGCAGCTTCATTTCGAGCAATATTCAGCTGGAGGGTGTTGGCGAGCACGGAGGAGAGGATGGAGGATAGAAGCAAGGTTGTGGTGGCGAGTTTCGCCATGGTTGTGGGTGGGAAAGTAGAGGTTAGGAGATGTTGGCACAGAGAGTGTGGTGACCACGACGAGGTAGGAGATCGTAGGGTACGATAAGATGAAGTCGTCAAGTGAAGAAAGCAGACAGGAGACAGGAGACAAAAAGAATTAAATTAGGTAGATGCGAAGGAGACGAGAAACAAAAGAAGGCAAAGCGAAGGAGTGCAGGTTTTGGGGTAATGAGGTAGTCAAGTGGGGATTGACAGAGCAGCGGCAGCGGTAGTGGCGCAGATCCTGAAGTACCAGTCCCATTACTTTGCAGCCAGTCGAGTGCAGTGAGTGGTCGGAGCAAACGCAGGTGCAGTTGGAGGTGTCGGGTATAAATGGGACCGTGAGTTGGAATTATTGGGACGGGGCCAGCCTGGAAGTTGCGACCGAGTTTCTCCACGTTGGTACGGAAATCCTTCGTCGTCCGCTGGTAGGCAGCTGTAGCTTACGCTCAGGATACCGGTACCTATCTATATAAGGATATATTGCAAGTGAGATGAGAGTGGAAATGGTAAAGAGCGGCTGCGCAGGAGGCGATGATGACGAACACAATGCACTACAATGCGGGTGGAAGAGTGTGGCAGTACCAAGCACTTGAATGTACACCAACATGCAAGTATCGAGTCGCGACCTGCAATTGTAGATTCCGTGCCAATTCCAACTTTCAGATTTTAGCTTTCCAGTGACAAGGACATGCACAGCCAAGACGAAAGTGACAAAGGTCTAGCACGGCCCACTACCAGTATGAATGCAGTACTGTACTTGTAATGATGAGAAGATCCAAACTTTAATTCCCAAACAAAAAGTTTAAAGAGTAAGCGAACACCCGAATTCAACTAAAAATGGCGAATAGAAGGTTTGCAAAATAGAGAAGAAAGATCAAGGTTCTCGCCAGTTCCCAGAAGCCAAGACTTCTTATACCAGACACACTGTGATGCAAACTGCTGCGCTCACCAACTGCTGAACATGAGACGAAGTTCTGACAGTCCACCATCCCGGCAAGATGCATCCATTTACATCCATTGGATCATCCATGTTCGGGGATGCAGCATGCTTGAGGACAGTAAGAGTACAAATCCGATATCTCCGACCCCGATATCTTGCATTCAGGGGCCATCCACATGTAAGCAACCCATTTCCGATTTCCGTCTTCGCAATTCAAAGATAGGATTTAAAAACACCATCCTCAAAGACCTACCGAGTATGAACTCGAATGAAGATCTTGAGCATACGGAACCCACAGATCAAAGTTCCAAAGAAAAAACAAGCTTCACGCCACCAACGATCTCCCGTATCGCCCCGCTCGCCGCCACGCAAGCTTTTTACTCCTCCACTTCCGTTTCTTCGGGAAAACCTAACACAGGGAGATATAAATCCGATATCCACTCACCTAACCAATCTCTTATCACGAGTGTACTGTATCACGAAAATCCAACGCTAGAGTCCTCGTAATACCGTAGCAAATCGTCTTTAAAGGAAATACTAGGGTATGAATGGTGGAGTATCCCTTCCAGACACGAAAACCATAATAAAAACCGTGTATTAAATGTAGGTAGAGAAGACAAGTCTACTTTTACTATAGTATATCTTCTCTATAAAGTACAACGAAGGCGTTTAGCCAACCAGGTACCTAATATTTCTAAGTATTTACGAGTAAACCTCGATTTAACCCCGTTTAACATGGACTTATTTCCACTTTAGTACTCGTATACTTCTATGTTTTTCATTATAACCTTCGTGTCTGGAAGGGATACTTTGTACTCCACCCCTCACCCTTAGTATTTCCTCTAAGGACGATTTGCCACGGTACGCAGGCGCTACCGATCACCCCTCTCTAGCCGTATGTGTAAATCCGATGGATTTCGCATTGCAGCTGAAAAGACAAGAAACGTGGTGGGGCTATGCTGTGGAATCGCTCGTAAGGCTGTGCTTTGAGGTTTCACTTTGTGGAATTGGGCTCACAGCTCTACCGAGATAAGAGTCGTGTGAGAGTCTAGTGATTTTAGGCTGTGAGCCTCATTACGTATGATACATGTACGAGGATTTATTGTGGTTCGACGTAAGTATATGGACGACTCGTTTTATTGCGAAGATACACGAAATTTAAGTCGATCCGAGTACTTGGTTGTGTTTCTGTGTAGAAACTGTTGCTGTAGATAGTGCTAGAGGGATAAATCAACATCAAATATCTATTTGTCCTTGCCGAGTGCAGGTGGGTACATCGGATGTTCCTTGTTTTACTGGTTTGCTCTGATAAGCCTGAGACAAGATCGCTCCTTCCTACGCCGTACTCCAAATCGCATTTCATTAGTCAGAATACTGTTGTGTAACATAAGACTCAGCCGGGCTGGCTCGAAAGCGGGGTTCTTCTCAAGATTCTCAGCTGAACCTCGACGTCCGACGAAGTTTGAACAACTATCTTTCCTTCATACCGTACAGCTTGAAAACAGTCTTATCATGGCTTGCGACCAATGCCGCTCCATCGATATTGAAAGATTGCACAATAAAAAGCCATGGACATATTTTGTCCATTATTCAACATTCTACAAGCTTGAGGCTTGTTGTGTAGCAACTGGGTGCCAGTTGTGTGAATGGATATGATCGGGGATTGAAAAAAAAATTGACAGTTCAAGTAGTAGTGGATCAGAGCCTTATGGAGATGAGCAAATACGTTATCGTGCCTTGAATTTGGCACCACACCAAACACATGGCTTTTCAAAGATAGTATTTGAATTTGGTCACAGATTCAGCGTGTTCTTCGATGTCTTTGTATTAGAGGGTGAGTGCTCGGTTATATGTTTCGCTCTTCGCCGGGATTTCTCTGAGCAGCTGAATAATTCAACGGGAAGCAGGCTTGCCAACTCGAATATTATAAGTGGTCGTCCTGTCTCACTTAATTCATATAGCGAGAATTGCTTTCGGCTCGCAAAAAGATGGAGAGACCACTGCCTAGAACACCATGTCGACACATGCCTTAGAACGGTGGATCCAAAATTGCCTACTCGAGTTATCGATGTCGGCCCTTCAGACAACTCTCGCGAGCCCTGTTTGAAAATCAGCGAGGGCGAAAAGGGGGAGTGGGTAGACCTAAGTCATTGCTGGGGGACGGAGTCACAATTTGTGCTGAATTCAAATATGATGGCTTCATTTAAAAAGGGCATGTCATTTCAAACGCTACCGCCAACATTCCGCGATGCTATCATAGTAACACGAAAGATGGGATACCGTTATCTTTGGATTGATTCTTTGTGTATCATCCAAAAGGACCATGATGACTGGGTTAAAGAATCGGAACGTATGCAGGATTATTACAAAAATGCCATACTTACCATCAGTCCCGACTCTGCTTCTGGCGATCACGTTGGAATCTTCAGCGAAAATCGTCTACTGCCTCCATCTCTGATAATTGAGCTGACTATAGGCGAAGAACTTGGTATTCGAAAGAGCGTCGAAATGAAGTCACATGTATCAAAAAGAGCATGGACGTTACAAGAATTTGTTCTCTCGCCGCGATCGCTTCAATATATGCCCGACCAGCTTATCTGGGAGTGTTATACTAGCAAGTTATGCGAGTCTGATACGAACCCCCAAGATAACGAGTTCTATGCACAAGAAAGAAAAATTTGAAACGTTTCTTTTCGACTCCTTTCCTATAGTTGAGCGATTACAAATTAATCCAGCCCTCTCATCGTTGGTACAATTTGGTTGAGGACTACTCTTTACGAGATATGACCAAGAAAAATGATATACTACCAGCGATATCTGGCCTCGCAAGAGAGATTGCACAACAATCTGGATACACCTATGCTGCTGGGATATGGATCGAAGAAATAAGGAGAGGACTTGCGTGGCATTCCAGTTGCTCAGCTACAGCGAAGGAATCCGACGAACATCATGCGCCGTCCTGGAGCTGGGCATTTTGGCCGACGTCTCCTGGGATCGAGTTCATGATGCGTCCTGGAGCTTTGTATGCGGATATGGATGAAGGAAAAGCTACTCTAATCAGATACAAGATCATTCCAGAGGATGACGATAAATTCGGTCGTGTCAAATCCGGATATATCGATTTACGTGGAAGAGGCATTTCGATGAGGAGCTGGCTAGAGCAGAATCACCTCATATTCAATTATGTACGTGATTACGTGATTGTTATGATCTTTTTACTAAATCTGCCTCGAGCTCGGATGTACCCGGAGCTATTGAACGCGAGCAAACAAGCTGCTTCTTTGATTCATTTGACGAGAATGCTACATCAGAAAAGATCTCGGAGGAAACGTTTCTGTTCTCTATATTTACAGAGGACGATGACTCCACGATTTACACGTATGCATTGTTACTGGTCCAGGTTGAGAATTCCCCAAAAGAAACATATCGAAGAGTCGGTCTTATTACATTCTGGCCAAGAGAGGGATATTCGATGGATACTTGGGACAAAAAAGAAGTCCACATCATATAACACACTCATTCACCTTTCATTTCCTCTCGAATCATTCTTCTCTTCTCTTCTCAGCGACTCTGTCACGAATTTCCTTCTTCTTTCCTTTTATCTCCTATATATCACATGTATTTCCTACCTACCTACCTACCTCTCTTTACTCACTCTCCTACTTTCATCTCATCTCATCTCGTCTTATCTCGTCTTGTCACAGCTGTTTAGCTCAGTTCAGTTCGTTTATAAATGTTGAATCTATCTTCTCATCCTATTGAATATATTTAATCGCTTGGTACTCAGCGTGGAATGCGGGTTTGTGATGCGGGTTTGAAGGGCTGGGTGTTGGGTTCTGTGGCTTGAATTTTAGGGGGCGGAAGGGAGAGAGGGGGTAAGAGGTGGGATTGGTGGTTTGAAAGGGGAATGAATAGGTTGTGAATGAGAGGGGAGGAAGGGTAGGGTCCCAATACACTGACGCCCCGGCGTCAGTTTAGAGCTGACTAAGCGCGGGTTTTCACGCCCCCCCACCATCCACGAACACTCTACTACCTATAATTAATACATGCTTAACAAAATAACATATAATAAATCCTACAATATATATCGCTCCGAGTCTCGCGCATACTCCTCCTCAAGTCTAGCCCATATATCCCTACTCCTATTCTCAGTATTCCTATTCCTATTCCTAATAAACTCTGATTCAAGCATATTATACTCATCTTGCTCCTTCTTTTCCTCGTTATCTAGCCATGCTATAATCTCCTCATTTGTCCAGTCAGCTTTATTTGTAATAATAGTACCTGTAAGATCACGCCGCTCCCTAGGCATATAAAATACCTGCTCTTTTAAAATTTTCGGCCTTGGTGTTTTCCATTTTCGGGCCTTACGATATTCTGCTGGCCGTATAGTAGGATGCTGGGCTAGCCAGGCTGTTTTTTCAGCTAGGTAGGCCAGAATTAAGACTTCTGGCCGATCTGGTGAAAGCTGCTTAGGTACAGTTGGTGCTAGAGATGCTAAAGGTGCTGATGCTAGAGGTGCTGAAGGTGCTGTAGGTGATGTGGATAATGTGGGTGATGTGGGCACTGTATCTAATTCAAGGAGAATCTGGCTTTGAGCAGCAATTGATGCTTGTAGTTTCAACGGGCAGCTACGGCTACTCATTGTGTGGCCTTGCCTGTGGCATGCAGAGCATTTAGGTAATTGCTTTGCTTTTTTCTCCCCTTTTGAGAGAATGCGGCCTGTGTGAGCAACCTCTGCGTTTGCTATACGCTGTCTACCAGCCCATAGAGGGTTAAGTAGTGGCTGTATAGTGCTTTTACGGTCCCAGTACCAGTGCTCATGAAAGTCTGATGGAGTAAGCCCAGTAGTGTCCTTCTTTATCTCGCATATATGTGCACAAGGCAAGCCCATTGCCCGGGTAAAAGCACCAGTACAGGGCAGTAGTGGCCGAGAAACAGTCTCTTGATGTCGTTGTACAAGTCGTAGTGCATACCAAGTGACTACCCCAAAACAGCCTTGATATAGTGTGAGAGGCCAGACCTTGAACAACTCAAAGGTGAGGTTTCGAATGTTCAATTAAGAAGTGCGTGAAGACTACATACATGCAATCTCTTCCTCTATATATAGAGAGAGGAAGAGTTTCTGGAGTCTTCCAAGAAACTGTTTGACAAATACGTAACGTCAAAAGAATAGAGTAGAAAAGTGTAGAAAAGGAGAAACCAATTTAGCAGTGGAGCAATGGCCAATGCTGAGCGGGGACTTTGGTCAGTGCTTAGCGAGGGCATGGCCCGAGCCTCCATCATGGGTTCCAACCCTCACATATAGCTTCTTGTCTATATCAAGTGGTGCGCGGTCCTGTAACATACTTATACGAGTTGATACAGCTGTAATTTGGTTGATTACAGCTGCTTCAATAAGTAGCCATGATGAATAGAGGTCCCCCTTGGTTTTTTTGCCCCCTAGGTAGCGCTTAATATATGCATGAGCTCCTTCAGCACGGGAGGTTACTCGTATACCGAAGTGTAAGTATTGATTTGTCCAAGCCTCAACTAAACGCTCCTTTTGACCAGGTTTTAGCCACTCGTTTTGTAGGTATGCCACACACTGTTGAGTCTTAGGGTTTGAGTATTGAGTCTGAAACTCAAGCCAGCGCTTATCAAATTGCTCAATTGTCTGTGCTTGAATAACTATATGCCAGGCAGCCTCAAAAGCCTTCCAATCCTCTTCCCCGACTACATTCTTACATTTAGCAAGTACACATTGGTTTACATGCCAAATACAGAGT